TATCTAATTACTTTTAACTTAAAAACATCGAACTAAAAATCCTTTATTCATAAAATAAGTCTAAAACACCACTTTTCCTATTATACCCTTGGGCTCCAAAACACAAACCAACTCTTGGATCACATAATCTACATTACCTACATCCAAATGGGTCTAAACCTCTCTTTTCCCAAGGGCCAAAGCCTTATAATAATTGATCTTCGGGTCACGGCCCCGAACTATGGAACGACTCGAAACAGTGTGTTACATAAAAACCATAATCCATGCAAAACACCCAACAATTAATTTTTCCCATTTTACCCCTTTGGTTCCAAAACACAAACCAATTGCTTAGATCACCTAACCAATATTATCAACTTCCAAAAGGGTCTAAACCCTATTCCCTTGAAGCCCAATGTCTTTACTTGATCCATTTATTTTTCTCAATCCCGAAATAAGAAACCTCTCTGAACAGGTGTTACAACTATTTTGTAAAACATATCAAATATGTAATACAATTAATAAAATTAATCATATTTTTGTGCATTAAATTATATTGCACAATCATCGAAATATAGATTTTTTTCAAAAACCATTTTGTAGTTAAAATTTTTGAAATTCAACGCTATGATGTGGAGTTATTTCAAAGTACAACTCTTAAAAATATAATAATTAAAAGAATTATTTCATTAAAATAATAGTTACAACAATGACAAAAAAAAACAACATCCATAGAAACTCCATACTTTTTTTTATTCAATTATTATAATATATATCTTTAACTATGTAATGAATATTTATTAATTGCATTCAAGTTCTATTTTAATGTTCTAACTTTTTTCCAATTAAAGGTTGTTTAGAAGTAAACCACTACAACTAAAGATGTTGTTTCATTTATGGTACTTAATTGATAGTTATGAACCTTAATTAAATAGGATTAAAATATTTAGATTGTGTTTAGTAAATTATATAAATAATATAAACATCTAATGTCTAAACCAAATATTATACCAAAAACATTCAAACCAATTATTAAAACCTAAATTACGTTCATGTATTATTTTGTGTGTATTTATTTTCATGAAAGTGTATGTTATTGTTGCATTACAAACATATTAATCAAATATATAATACAAAGTTATATGTTTAAGACAACAACTAACTACCTACTAAAATTATTCATATTTATATATATTAAATTACAAAAAAATGTTTGGAAGATGCAATTTTTCAAAGCACAACTCTTAAAAATATAAGAATTAAAATAATTATGCTATTAAAATAGAAGACATGACCGTGACAAAAAAACAATAATAACATCCATAGAAACCTATACCTTTTTATTCAATATTAACAAAAAAAAACCATAATTGGGACATTTATAATTTCATCAATGTGAACATAACCCATCAAAAATCAATTCAAGATCTCATTTTTATTTCAAAAACACACTTCAAACACATTAATATGAATAGAACTCATAAAAACGTAACTCTTGTTTAAACAAACTTCAAAAACATCAAAATGCACAACACTTTTTTTAGCTCTAAATATACAAACCTTTACCTAAAAAATTATCGTTGTTTCTATCTTTTTTTTCTTACACTAACACAATTTCAACACATAACACATCAAAATTGACAATACGTTTCTTTTGTCTCTAAATGTACAACCTTAAGACAATTCTTCATCATCAATAAATATCAAAAACTTTTGGATTGGATCTTGTACACTACAAACTTCTCATTGAATTTTAAGAAAATATAAGGACAAAAATAGAAAGAATAAAACAAACATATTTACAATTTCTTCATTCTCATGCACTCTAGATAAAGGAATTGATAAAGGAATTGAAAAGAGAAGATAAAAATATATGAATAAAACTTGTCAAAACATAATTCTTGTTTAAACACACTTCTAAAACATCAAAATTCACAACACTTTTTTAGCTCTAGATATACAAACATTTACCTAAAAAATTCTCGTTGTTTCTATCTTTTTTTTTTCTTACACAAACACACTTTCAACATATAACACATCAAAATTGACAACACTTTTTTTTTGCTCTAAATGTACAACTTTAAGACAATTCTTCATCATCTCTACATACCAAAAACTTTTGGATTGGATCTTGTACACAACAAACTTCTTATGAAATTTTAAGAAAATTTAAGAAAAAAGTTGAAAAGAATAAAACGAACCTATTTACAACTTCTTCATTCTCATGCACTTCTAGATAAAGGAAAAGCAAAGAGAAGATAAAAATGAAAAAAGAATAGAAGTGCTTTTATATAGGCAAAATATTAAATAATCATTTAAGTATGATAAGGTGAAGAGTTTGGGAGTTTCAAATGAACATGGTTTAAGAAATTGGCTTTATCTTGAACCAAATTCATTTGAATGACCTTATTTATAAGAGATATATAGATATAGCTAAAATATTGATCAATATGTGTTGTTAAAGATAACTATGTCATCGAAATTAACTATAAAATAATAATTATTATACTAAGAGTAAGGGTGAGCATTTGGACCGAACCTCGACCTGGACTCGATAAGCCTCAACAGGTCCGGTCCAAGGTCCACCAATTTCTACAAAACCAATGCGATCCAAAAACCGGTCAGGTCTAATCCAGTCCAAATGTTCATTGTTATGTCCAAGAACCAAGAACCAAACCTGGACATGGACTTAATAAACATCAACAAGTCTGGTCCACAGTCTAACAATTTCAACAAAACCGGTCTGATCCAAAAGTTGGTCTGGTTGGATCTGATCCAAGTGCTCACCCCTAACTAAGAGCATCTCCAACCAATAATAAAATTAAACGTCATGCTAAATTTTATGTTAAATACATCTCCAATTTAACAAAAAAAAAAAGCCTTAACTTTTACACCAAATTTGGTGCTAACACCACATACTATATCAATTTGATGTATGATGTTGGTGAATAATATAATATTAAATTTGAAGTTCCTTTATTCATGAACATCAAATATAATATTATAACTTCAATAGCATTAATTGGTCATTTATTGTAGTTGATCGATATTTATTAATAATATTAAACACAAATTATATTTGCAAAAGACACATAATCAACATATATAGCAATTACATAATCTAATAAAAACATACAATTAAAATTTATATTACTTTTTGAATGATTTAATTTAAAAAATTATTGTAAAAAAATTATATAAGTCAAGTTTGTATACCTGTAAATATATGTGTTTTTTGAAAAGTTTAAAAAATTAGAAAAATAAAATATACTTAAAGTATTAATATTTTTAAGTTTAAAAAAATAATGTAATAGATTAAAAATGATTTGGTGTTATATTATTTTTTACATTTACTTTTATCAATTTGAGATACGATATACTATTAAGAATTCTAGATGGTTTAATTGTGTCATTGTATATCTTTCACGAGATACTCTGTAGTAACATGAAAACGTAGGTGGCTTAGACTATAGGGAGTCACTTGTTATGCAGCCTTGCAAAGGCTCGTTAAGACATTTTGAACATCGCCCCTAACACTTGCTAAGAGTGGTTCGCTAACCGCTTGATGTGTGTGTGTACGAGAGAGAGAGATAGATAGAGAGAGAGAGCTAGCTGATTGGTTGCTTTTTGTTTCCAAAATAAACCATATTAAAATAACATACTACAATTCCCTATCTTTTTGCTACCACTTCATTTAGTCAATATGGTTTTAAAAAATCTTATGTGACAATATGCTAAGAGTTCTACCATTTCATTCGGCCTTAGTGGTTTAAAGAAAAAATGTATTTTTTTTTTTGCAAATATATGATATATAAAAGAACATGGTTTAAAAAATGATAACCAAATATACAATAATTTTTAACAATAAACAAAGTTATGAAATATAAGTTTAATATATGTAAATGAAAGGAAAAAATAACAATAAGGAAATGAGAAAAATGAAATAAATTCAACATAAAAAAGATTACAATATTATGACTATGTTAATTGTTGTTTACAATAAAAAAAACATTATTAAAATGTAATTACCAACAACATCGATATTAAAAAAAATTAACAATAAACAAAGTTATGAAATATAAGTTTAATACATGTAAATAAAAGGAAAAAATAACAATAGGGAAATGAGAAAAATGAAATAAATTCAACATAAAAAAGATTACAATATTATGACCATGTTAATTATTGTTTACAATAAAAAAAACATTATTAAAATGAAATTACCAACAACATCGATATAACATGGAAGAGGGAGTGCCTATTAAAATACTAAATTGGCAGTGTCTACTAAACCCCATCTCATCCAATCATCTTCCACCACCTTCTCCTCCGACCTCTGTTGTACTATTGTTCTTTCTCTAAATAGACCTTAGATTCACTCGTTGAAGAGGGGTATGATTGTTTCTCATTTCCCCCTTTGTAGCTTCATAGACCTAAAGAAAAGGGGGGAAAAGCACCAATCTTTACTCACTTCACAGAATCCAAGGATTCATCTCAAGATTCTCCCCTCTACCTCTCTGCATCTCTTTTCCATTTCCAGCTTTTGAGGAATTAAAATCCCTTTTCGCCAACTCTCAATCATTCAATCAGCCAACTTTCCTAATTGGGATGTCGATATTTTCCAATCTTGAAGCAACCAACACTGCCTTCTTGCTAATAATGGGTTCAGATCTTGTTCAGCATTTCTAGGTTTTTGTTCATCTCTTTCTAGAAGGAGAGGGAAGAGAGAGAAAGAGAGTGGATTTGCTTTTCTTGATACCTATCATACCCCTCTATGTTTGGGGAAGTATTTCCTTTAATTTCGAAAAGTTGGTCTTTTAAAGATTCCACAGGGTGGTTGGGTGGTTGGCTGTGGAGGCAAACAAAAGAAGAAAAGTTATTCTGATTCCATTCACAAAAAAATATGGTTCTTGATTTAACCCTCATATTTCCATTGTAAATCCCTCCCACATTTCGATCCCCCCTTGAAGAAAAACCCTTAAAAATTTGATCTTGATTCTGGGTTTTTGAATTGGATTTCAATGAAGTTGGAAACTATAATCCTCTCACCATCTTCATATATGTCAAATCCGTCGCGTTGGATGATGGAAGATAGTATAAAGAGCATAATTTGGACTCATGTTGAGAACAAATTATTTGAGAATGCTCTTGCCAAGTTTGATAAAGATACCCTTGATCGGTGGCAGCGAGTGGCGGAGATGGTTCCGGGGAAGACGGTGGCGGATGTTATGCGGCAGTATAAGGAGTTGGAGGATGATGTTAGTAGTATCGAAGCAGGGTTTTATCCAAAATACGGGTATAACTGTAGCACTTCTCCTTTCACTTTAGAATGGGGAAACAGTAATCGGGTTGATGGGTTTCTCTCACCGCCGCCATACGGTGTCCGAGGGAAGAGATCCTCTGTCGCCGCCGTGGCTGTGGTGGCCGCTGGTTGGCCTCTAGAACAAGAAAGGAAAGAGGCTGTTCCTTGGACAGAAGAAGAGCATAAGTAAGTTTCTTTTACTCGCTCTGTTGTTTTAGCTAGCGATATTTTTTGTTTTGATTCTAGATCCCACATTGAGTGGATTAAATTTAACATCGGTATTTGGGAAACCCAATCACAGGTTGTTTCTATTGGGCCTAAAGAAGTACGGAAAAGGAGACTGGAGAAATATTTCTCGAAATTTCGTGGTGACAAGAACACCTACTCAAGTCGCTAGCCATGCTCAAAAGTACTTTATCCGGCAACTTTCCGGCGGGAAAGATAAGAGAAGAGCAAGTATTCATGATATAACAACTGTAAATCTTAATGAAAACCACATCACTTCGCCGGAGTACAAAACAACAACTTCACCGAAGCAATGCAAAGTCCCATGGAATCAACCAAACAACGAAAACACCACCATGGCTTTCAACCAAACACATAGGACTCTCTTCATGTCTCCAAGATATGGTGGGAACTCGTTTGGTGCTTTTGGTGGTGGTGGTGGTGGTGGCGGCGGCGGCGGTCTACATGAATCTTATGGTGCACCTCAAAACATGGTTTTCCAGATGCAACCTGCGATGCACTACCCTCATGGATGAGCCTAACCTGAAAAGCTTTTTTCCTTTATTTTTGCATTGATTTGAGTAGTTTGATTGGTCGTTTTCATGGTGTTTTCAGTGTTCTCTTGTGGCTTTTTATTTACAACGTGAATATTTTAGCCGTTTAGTGTGACAGTTATGTTCGGTTTTAGCTCTTTAAGAATGGATAAGAGTCTGATTAAGATGTAATTTTTAGCTCAACAAACCAAAGAACTTTTATCAATGATCTAATTATGTGGTGTTCAAAAATGATACTAATGTGTATGATATAACCAGTTGTACCATACAACCGGTTATAGCATATAACCGGTTGTATTGTACAATCGGTTATAGCATCTGCGTCACTTCAATAACATCTTTTAGCATCCTACTCTATCTTTTGAGCGCCTAATCCAAGAATCTATTCGTTACACCCGACTTGGTTGACTTGCACTCATGTTCGAACCACAATTCCACCAACATTAAGCATCCTACAATCCTAGTTATTCTTGATTTTCCTTGTACAATTTAAGATTCTTGGACATCTCTTTCTGTAATTAATCTTTGTTATAAACCTCTCTTTTTTGTCAAAAGGAGATGTTCTTTCTCTCTATGGGAAGACTGTTATGATAGCAGTGCCTTGGATCATGAGATTAAGGCTTTTCTGTTTCAGAAGTTTGACCTATTGATCCCACTAGAAGATGGCAAAAACACTTCCTTGAGACTTTTTAACCAAAATTCAAAGTAGAAATTAGATGAATTGTCCCTATGGTTTGGCCAAATTCGCTAGTTTCATCCATATGTTTTTATTTTTCATTCGGATTATCCGTATGGTATCTTTTTGTTACGATTTTGGTCTCTTTCTAACCTGAAATGACTATATTTTCCTTATTAATTTATTTTTTAATTTTCTTATCATTTTTTTATATTTATAGTTTTAAAAAAAAATCTAAAACCCCATCTTAACCCACGACCCTACCCCTAACCGGCTACCCCATCTCATCATTCTCTTTATGTGATATATCTCATTTTTCCCTTTTCTCTAAACTCAGTCAAGAGCTCAACCAAGAACCATAGTTCTGGTGCCGTCGCTATTATGGTCGTTTCTAGCGAATTGAAAACTAGATCACGTGCCACCACTGTCCTAGATTTGTTGCCGCTGCTAAAATATGTACTAGATATGTCACCGACATTGCCCTCCCTCTTCCTAAACCTAGATCGGACATCACCGATGCTTTGGTTGTTTCCAGCAAATGAAATTCATAGACGGAGAAGGTTCATAAGCCCTACATCTTGTCACCGTGTAACATCCCAAAAATATCAATAAAATTTTTCATTTTTAAACATCAAATCCATACATCAATGCTTGTTTCTCAAATTCAATCATAGTAAAATGTATCACAAACATCAGAGTAAAACAACATTCATCAGTGCGGAAAATCATTAGGGGATCCGGTGCAGTCAAGTCAGTCCCTTCCTTTTGGAACCGTAAGTACCTGAAAAATGTTTAAACTACAGAACCGTAAGCACAAAGCTTAGTTAGTTCCCCAAAATATCACATGCCATACAACGGGCCCAGCCCATCATACAAATGGGCCCAACCCATCATACCAACGAGCACAACCCAACATACCAACGGGCCCAACCCAACATTTCAATATGCCCAATCCAACATACAAACAGGCTCAGCCCATCATACCAACGGGCCCAGCCCAGCAAACCTATGCAAGAGTCACAAAGACAACTAGCATCCCACACAGTATAGTGAGAAGACTCACCTGTCGCGCGAAGTTAGCTAAATTATAGCTCAAAGCCACACAATTTGTGCTACAACACACCTATCGAATCAAACAACACACAATTTATGTACGGTTGTTTTTTAATTAAATCAAAAAAGAAACAAATTTTATATTGCTTACGAGATGTTATTGTTTCTTTCATAGAAAACTACAAATTTAGCTTAATCCATTAATTACTTTGTGGAAAACAACCAAAAAAACTAAAATTACAATTTTAACCACGAAAATCGCAGATGGATTAAGCCCATCTGTGAACGAACAAGTCGCTAAAGCACAGTCGTTTTTTATCGACTTGTACGTTCACAGATGGACCAGTCCATCTACGGTTTTGCACTGCCATTTGCGGTTTAACTTTGGTCCAGGTATAAAGAAATTATTATTATTATTATTATTATTTGCTTCATTTTTCGCACTTTTTCTTTGAAGACTTCTCTCTCTCTCTCTCTCTCTCTCAAAGCAATGGATGATTTCGTGAACAATCCCGATAATATGGTAAAATCTTTACCTATTTTGTGTTTTAATCATCATTTATCAATTTTAGACTTTGTTTATTTACGATTTATTGGAAAAAAAATTTGGAAAAAAAAACGAAAATATTACTAAATTTCAGTTATTTCTCGTCAAATTTTTTGAAATCTATGTGTTATATTTTATATTTACTAGATTTTAAAAGTGGCATTGAGGTTTTTGATAGCATTTAATAATTGTATTTATGATTGTACAAGTGCATAATGTATAAATTGTGCATTGTGAGGTTGTACATTTGGTACTTTGTGTTAATATGTTATATAAATGTGTTAATATGTTGTAATAATGTGATTTTTGATATAAAAATGATTATTGCTGCTTCATGATGTTGTACCTTTGCATTTTGAGGTTGTACATATAGTAATTGCCGATTGCGTTATAATAATATGTTTTTTTTATTGTAATCGCCGATTTCGTTATAATAATATGTTTTTTTGACAGTTTTTTTATTATATTTTGCAATTTGGATGTTGTTATAAATAGACATTTGATTTATTTTGTGATTGTAATTGTCGATGTAGTTATAATAATATGTTTTTTTTTACAGTTTTATTTATTATTTAGTATAATTTTTTTGACAGTTTTATTATTATCTAGTATAGTTATTTTGATAGTTTTTTATCCTTTAAAGTTTTTTACCCTTCTTACATGTTGTTTTTCAGCATGATTCTAGAATTTTAAATGTTAAAGTTGTTGTAAATTTCAAATGATCGGGATGTAACATATGACAAATATTTGAAGTATTGCATGGTGTGCGACGGGAAATTTTTAGAAGCACTGTATTTGGTTATTTGTTGGACGTCCCTTAATTACAAGGAAACGGGTTGCTATTTCATAAAATGTTTCTTTATCAGTTACGACCAGACGCAGTAGTATCTCCAGATTGCATAAAACGGTTGTATTTTAAAGTGGGAGATACTAAAATGATTTATGGCTCCGAAGAGTTTTGTTTGATAACCGATTTAATTTTGGAGTGTATCCAAAAATGAATGGAAAAAAAGCGTCAGAAAAAAAATAGTAGTCAAAAAAGATGTTTATTGCGGGAACGTCTTTTTTCGAACCACACAAATAGTTCAGTGAAAATCTGTGATTTAAAAAGTTTCATTTTAAATCAGTCATTCTTAGCAGCTACCGACGATGATGCAGTTAGAGCATGTGTCATATACGTTTTGTGTGAATAGTTTTTGGGGAAAGAAGCAAATGATCGTGTGCCACAAGACTGTTTTTTTTTCTTTTTTGCTGAGAACTTGGATGGGTGGATCAAGTATTATTTGTTGAATTTTAAAGTTTTATATTTTCTATGGTAATGTTTATTCTAATTAAAAGTTATATATTGTAGTTTTGCTTGGGGTAGTTATTTGTGGGAGTTCACCTATGATGATCTCGAGGATACATGGAACAAAATAAATAAATATTTATCACTGCATGAGTCTCGTTAATCATTTAAATACTCGGTGTCAAGATTTACGGCGTCATTCAGGGTATATATATATATATATATATATATATATATATATATATATATATATATATATATATATATATA